TTTTCTTTTTCTTTTTCTTTTTCTTTTTCTTTTTCTTTTTCTTCTTCTTTTTCTTTTTCTTTTTCTTTTTCTTTTTCTTTTTCTTTTTCTTTTTCTTTTTCTTTTTCTTTTTCTTTTTCTTCTTCCTTATCTTTTTCTTCTTCTTCTTCCTTATCTTTTTCTTCTTCTTTTTCTTCTTCCTTATCTTTTTCTTCTTTTTCTTCTTCTCTTTCTTTTTTTTGCACTAAACCAACACATTACTATTTTGCATGTCAGCTTACCATGCGTAACAGAAGAGGTTAGATTTAGATATCCCACCTCTTGGCCTTTCATCTCCATGTTTGGCCTGCAGAGGAAAAGCATCTTCCAGCAAAGTTAGCAGCACGAATTATTCAGCTTTATTTGACATGTAGTTCATAATCTTTCTGCCTTTACACCTTCTCCTGGTAATGAAGTACAGCCCCTGGAATAAAGCATTCTTTCTCTGAGTGGGGAAAAAGTGACTGATATTCTCTTTTTCACTGCAAAAGAAGAAAGAACATTCAGAAAGAGCATATACCTTTATTAGAAAAGTATGTGGTGTTCCTACAAAGCAATGGTAACACAATACCCCAGCTACAAATAAAGCACAAGTGAGGACAGCAGGGAGGAGGCTGCGGGAAGGACAGAAAAAGCTGTATTTAAACAGTTGTGTTTGCTTTTCTGTAGGAAAAAAATACCTCAGAGAGCTCTTTTCTGCCGGAACACTGGCACTTTGCAAATGCTGCCAGCACATACCTGTGAGCAAGCCAGCTGACATCAGTTGTCCAAGAACATGGTGGGACTTTGGACATTTTATTCATCCCTCTTCAAACAGATGTCTTTGTCAGGGCTGTTTGACCAGGACAAGCCCATGGGTAAATACAGGAGCCTACTTAAGGAAGATGTGTTGCAAGTCAGTGGGATCTGAGTTGGATAGCACCATAGTAATGGGAATTATGTACCTGAGCTTAAGATCAGAGCAGGTTCGCAACCTCACTTCTAGACCCAAAGGACACTGATTTTGGTTTAAAAAAAAACAAAACAAAGCAGACCAAAGTCAGGACAGAGATAAGTTCCAGTCTCTATATGGAAAGTCTGCTGAACAACTGAGAACAAAAACTATGGCCTTTCACATCATTCAAGCAAAGGCCATTCTGGTATGGGCCCAACTGTAATATAGCAGAATTACATTCATGAGAATTCAGTTCTTGGAAAATCAGATCCTCACTGATGCACTGCAAATGTGTTTGAACCATTCCTGTTTCACAGGGCAATAGCCACGTCATTAGGCTAAACCTTTCGCACTTTCTCTTTTAACTCGTTAGATTTATTTACCAAAAATCATTGCATAGATATGCCCAGTAAGTATCTTAGAGATCTGTTTGAAACTACCTAAAAGCTTAAATATGGAGGTTCTCTCTTCACTGCATTCAGGCTTCCATTAAAACTGTAAGTTCCTCAGACATCATGCCCTGCAGCCCCCCATAAATCCTCTGCTTGACACCCTGAATGCACCATGGAGGCTCTAATACACATTACCCAAAAAGAGCTACTATAAAATTCCTGACCTTTTCTTGTTTGTGTGACAGAGGGAGAATGCTAACTCCACCAATTGGACCAGATAATCACCCTCCTGTGAAAAGCCTACAATCCACATCCTCTGTTTTCTTCTTAGCTGAACTTCCACTGCATTTGCTCAATCATTTTTTTTATGTGTGAAGTCCATAAATCACCATCCAATACACATAAGACAAAGAAGAGATTTCATCCTGCTAGTTCAGATATCAGCCACAGGACACATCACATCTTGTACCCAGAAGTGCTGGGTGCTGTGGTGTTCTCAGGCGTTATCATCTCTTACACGCAGGTTTATTTGAGCAGCCCTCACTATACAGCAGGACCAATCATTTGAGTAAAGAAAAAATTGAGTAAAGATAAAGGTTTACAGGACATTTTCTACAAAAGGCTCAACAGGCAGAACAGGCAGTACCAGAGATGCTCGGTCAGGCTCTCGGAAGCTTTGCCCTCTTCCTTGCCCAGGAAGTCTGCCTCAGCTCATACTGCCTCCAGTGGGAGATGAACTGCACCCGGGGCTTTTGTAAGAGCTCAGTACTTTGGGTCCTGCAGCCACGCTTTCCTCAGGACACAGCACTCAGCCCATACGCTGGGTGAAAATGGACTGCTTCTTCCTCATTTACAGAGACAGAAGAAGTCCAAAGATCTGTGTTGATAATGACAGTATTTTGTACTTATGATCCAGACGTCCCATGCTTGTTCCTGCTGGAGAAGGATGAGAATCTCTCCCAAATGCTGAGTTCCTCAAGAATGGCACTGTTCAAGTTTTATTTTTTCAATTATCTTCTCCTTTTCTCAGTTTTAAAAACATGCCAGCAAAGGCCAAGGAAGTCAAGGATGTGAGCTCCAGGTTTTAAGATTACCTCAAGGCAAACAGCAGCCTCCTGCACCCAGGCTCCCTTCACCTTTACTCTCCAGAGCAAGCTTTCTTTTGATTTTTGATACTGTTCGGAACACCAACAATTATTGTTGGGGTTGTGGAGAAGCAGAGTGGTTTCTTGTTTTGCTGAGAGATCATCTGCCTGAAAATAAAGCCATCTGCTCTTAAGCACAGGCATTATTCAGCCCACATCTAAAATACCAGGACTGTGCCTCTTCCTCTTACCTCCCTGTGATCTATAGGCAATGTAAAAGGCCATAACCCATCCAACCACCTCATTCAATGCTATGATCATCTATTCAGAGATCATAGTGGGATCTGCCCTCCCCCCCGATATTTTAAGTTATTTTGTAATGCCCACCATAAGGGCAGATGTTCTGCTGGAGCTTTATTCTCCTGACAGATACTGGCCACTTCAGGCAGCAACTCCATCGATGTGTGATGCTGCTCATTCAGGGGATTTTTAGGCAGAAGTTTACAGGGAGTTAAAAGAGCAGGGAAATGTCTTCCTGGTGCAGGAATCTGGAAGCTCCCCTAAGCCCCCCATGTCAGCCTGGTGGTGTGCGGAGGTGTTAAACTGGCATGTGTCTATCGAGGCGGGGGTGAGCCTTTTAAGTCCCCTGCTTCTTCCCCACTTGTGGAATTTGTTGTGCCAGTGGGATGAGGCTGGCTATAAAACCTCTGTCCCACTCCACAGCCAACGAGTGCATCGCAGCCCCGCTGACATCCCCGTTCCTCCCTGCGAGCCACCAAAAGGGCAGGATGGAGGCAAGCTTCACCCGGATGCTCTATGTGCTCTCTCTGGTTGTCATGGCCTATGCCTTCACCCAGGAAGGGTTCAAGGAAGTGATGCTGAAGCAGCTGGGGCTCTCTGAAGTCCCTAAGCTTCATAAGAGAGACCTGATGGACCTGGTCATTCCCGAGCACGTGAAGAACAAGTACATCTCCATGCTGAAGCGGCACAGGGGGAAGCGTCGTGCCTCTCCCAGCTTGGCCAGCATCCTGCAGGGGATCCCCGGCAATGCAGGTAACACCAGGGCAGGGCAAGCCACAGGGAGTGGAGCTGGGGTCAGGCTCTGAGGGGGAGCAGGGTGGAAAAAGTGTATGTACCCCATGATCCTGGAAAAGGGTGGGTGATAGAAAAACCCTGATGCTCAGGCACATAGCATCCTGGGCAGCGAAGGCAAACTACCTGCAAATTGTTGCAATTTGTGTGGTTTTCTGATACTGTGCACTGCACTGGCACAAAGGGACACATGCTTTTTGGTGCTTGCTCTATTTAGGAATAATTACATATAGGAGATTTCCTCCTCTTGTCCCTACATTGCTGTTTCAGATCTAGAGGAATTAGTTTATTTGCAAGATACTAAGTATGCGTTAGAAAAAGTGTGTTTAAGGGCTGTCTCTGCCACAAGGGATCACGTTGGAGCATGCAAGCAATGTGCTGTGATAACTGTGGATGAAATGCAGAGGATAGCAATGACAGCATGTCTTTTTGTCACTACATCACGGACAGAAGTCTTCTACTCTGACCCCATGCGCCAGAACTTCATCTTTGACATGGAGGGAAGGATACCAAAAAACAGTGAAGTGACAATGGCTGAACTGAAGCTTTTCAAGAAGCCCCTGGACAGGGTGAACCTGCCAGCCAAGCAGCCCCATCGGCCTGTCTCCAATGCCAGGGTCAGCATCTACTGGGTGCAGAGACAGCATGATGGCACAAACAGGACCTCACTAATCGACTCAAGGTAGGTGATGATGGGGAGTGTGGAGCTGATGAGAGCAGACATTAGGTTAAGGCTGCAAATATGCAATGATGCATTGAAGTGACACATTTCTGTGCCAGATGACAGGCTGCATCTTTATTAATAGAACCATAGAATCAATCATAGATTCATAGAATCACAGAATCACTGAATGGCTTGAGTTGGAAGGGACCTCAAAGATGATCTAGTTCCAGCCCTCCTGTTGCAGGCAGGGTAGCAAGACCCTAAATCAGGCACAGAATCAGGCTGCCCAGGGCCCCATCCAACCTGCCTGTGAACACCTCCAGGGATGAGGTATACGCAGCTTCTCCGGGCAATGTATTCCAGTGCCTCATCACCCCTCAGTGAAAACCTTCCCCTGACATCTATTCTACTCACATCTCACTCCTTTTAGTTTAAGGTTTTTAGTAGTTTATTCTACTCATCACACCCTCTTTAGTTTAAAACCATTCCTCCTTGTCCTATCACTATCAGACCATAAAAAGACTGATTTTATTCTTGTTTATAAGCTCCCTTTAAGTTCTGGAAGCTCAGCTGGCTGGTGACACAAGCACTGCATATAACCTTGCACTGTGTGAACAAACACCTTGACACAAGGGTTTTTATTTCACCATTCAGTGCTTGTTAGCCTTGCATGCCTTGTGGGTACAGAGAAGTTGTGGAGTCTCCTTCTCTGGAGATACCCAAAGCACGTCTGAATGCTTTCCTGTGTGACTGCTGCAGGAAACCCGCTTTAGCATGGAATTGAAGCAGATGATCTCCAGAGGTCCCTTCCAATCCCTATGGTTCTACAATTGTTTTAAATAGTTAATTGCTGCGAGTACTTGCCCAGAGCTGCTCAGCAAGCATTAACGTATGATCAAGGCACATGACAATGCACAGGAAGCAAATTATTCCACAGCAAAAAAAGCAGCATGAGCTTTGTATGATGGGCTTCTCTCTGCCTGGCAGGCTGGTTCCCATAAGAGAGTCTGGCTGGAAGAACTTTGATGTGACCCAGGCTGTGCATTACTGGCTGCGGAACAAGAGGCAGGAGCCAATGGTCCTGCAGGTCTGGATTGAAGGGGAAATGGTGGGCAGCTACGCTGCAGAGGTTGCCAAGGCCGTGCGCTTCACCTCACAGGATGCTGGGGACAGAGCTGTGGGAAGACCTGAGCTGGTGCTCTACACCCTTGACTTGGAGGACTATGGGTGAGTATGAAACCTGCATCCATGCAGCTTTGTCCCTACATTACTGCACTCGCTTTGTTGCCTGAATTTTCAAATGAAACCTGAGCGTGGTCTGAGCTTCCTAGCTCCGGGCTGTGCCATCAGCCTTACCTATTTGCTAACACTTCTCCTATTGCACACAGGGGCCCTGGGGACTGCAAGGATGGAGTGCAGGCAGGAAAGTCCACCTGCTGCCGGCAGAAGCACTACATCAACTTCCGTGAGCTTTCCTGGACGCAGTACTGGGTCATCGAGCCGGCAGGATACCAGGCTTACAGCTGCCGGGGGGGCTGCCTGCAGCTTCCCGGCCCACTGCAGCGCTGGGGAGGCAGGAAACGTGCCTGTGCTGTGGCTGAGAGCTCCCCGCTCCCTATCATGTACCTGGTCCAGAGGGGCAACCACACCGAGATTGAGGCAACTGAATTTCCCAACATGATCACCGAGAAGTGCAGCTGCATGGCAGATGGTGCAGCACTTCTGTGAGGGCTGACTTAGGGGAGGAATGGTGCTGGTGGGCCTGAAGGATGTGCACCTCCCTGGGTTTGGTGTGGCTGCCTCTGGGTAATTTCAGTCCCCACTCCAGGGCACTGCAAGCAGTTGCAGGTGAAAGGCAAGGACAGTGATCACAGTCAGGTGCAGAAGTCAAGCCTGGGTTTGGATTTTATTTCCTTTGTTCCCTATGCTTTGCACATTTCTTGGTCCTTGTCTGCCCAAATTGTGTTTACTATGGATAGCAGAGCAAAAGCACTTACATGTATATGCTGTATACACACACAGATGCACATGTATCACAAATACATGTACATATATATGTACATATTGTATACATGCATATTGTTTATAAATGCATTTTCTACATACGTACGTATATGTACATAGAATATTGCCCAGAGCTAAAATGAATGTATATATGTAAGTATGCATTGTATGCATATATCTGTAGATATACATGTACAAACAATGTTGTCCAGAACTAAAAGGACAGTACTGTTGGTCCCTGGACCAAGGATTTGGCACAGTTTTAAGCAGAATTTAGAGTCCTGAAGCCAGTGAACATATTGGGACTTGGGTTTGCTTGCACATCAAGTGTTTATAGACTCAGGTCCTCATTTTTTCTGATTGTGTATTACAGTTTTTTCAGCTACTTTTCTAGTCTTAATTGCTTTCAAAATTAAGTAAACAATAAAATATGATTATTTAAATAGCCATGTTTCATATCATTATTCCTAGGTGTAAAAGCAGAGGAAAAAAATCTGTAACATTTCTGACTGTACCCCAGTGCCCAGCTTCTTCATGCACACACCCAGCAACAGTCATCAGCTGTGCACGTGTCTCTGCCTGCTTATGATAAAGATGATCTGCTCCTGTGGGCAGGGACAGGGCTGAATCAGGGAGGAGCATGCACCACCGGTGCTTCTCCCCAGTGTCAGGTGTGATCTCCTTTCGAACAACACAAAATCATGGAAAATGCTCCTTGAACTCTGACACTGGGGCCATGCCCACCGTTCTCCGGTGCAGACTCTTTCCCTAACCCCCGGCTGCCCTTCCCCTGACACAGCTCCACGCCATCTCCTCAGACCCTGTCGCTGTCACACAGAGCAGAGCTCAGCTCAGCGCTGCCCTCCGCTCCCTGTAAGGAGCTGCAGCTGCCATGAGGCCTCCTCTCAGCTCCTCTGCTTTGGGCTGAGCAAACCCAGTGGCATCAGCCATTCCTCACACATCTTTGCCCTCCAGGCCCTTCTCCATCCTCGCAGCTCTCTTTTGGACACTCTCCAATAGATTTATGTCCTTCCACCCTCAAACAAGTACTGGGTTGCTGACTGGAGTGTCACTGATGGTAACTGACTCCTACACCAGTGTAAGCTGCACATGGAGCCCAGCCTATGGGCCACAGACAAGACAAACCTTTCCCCAAGTGTCTACTTCCTTGGAGATACTCAAAAGCTGTCTGGACGTAGTTCTGGACAACCTTGAGCAGCAGGGTTATGCAAGGCGACCTCCAGAGATGGCTTCTTACCTCAACCACTCTATAATGGTGTGAAGAGGGGGATTGGATGGGCCCAGCTGTGACTTCAGCTTATCCATCAGGAAGGTTGAGAAGCAAGGTGTCCCTGCCACCCTGCAGGAGGCCAGCTATGAGGTCACCAGCCACACCTGCATTCACCTCAGCCTGTGGATGTGCTGGTACCTCTCACCTGTGTAAAAGATTGTGACAAACGAATAAAAAAAAGCTTTAATGGGAGAAAAAAAAAAAAAAAAAAAAAAAAGGAGCTAGGTACATATCACCAAGGGTGACCCAGGTTTGAGCAGGATGAGCCAGACTGGCCATGGCCATTTTCTTCTCACAGTTACATGGAGTCTTTCTCAATGAGCATTCAGTTCCAGCTCCTACCCACCCAGGAGGGACAGGCCACAGCCAGAACCTCAGCTGTGAGGAACAAAGCAGAAGATTTATCTACACCCCTCTGGCTCCTGGGGAAGAAAGCGTTTGAACTGGTGTTTGACTGAGGAAGAAAAGCATTAACTTTGTTGTCCCTCCAGCCCAAGCCACACATCCTCCTCCCAGGCTGGGAGGAAGTTGTACTATGGGGGCCAGGATGGCAGAGGGCTTGCAGCACTGACCTCACCAACCCATCATGCCCAAATATCACAAGCACAGTATTCATGCTTCATGAGACACACAGCACGTCTCTGCTGAGTCACCCTTGCTGGCTTTGCAGTGAAGATCAGCAGGGTGGGAGGTGGGTCTAAAATGGAGAAGGCTCCAGAGGCTTCTGTAGTGCAAACTTGAAGGCAGAGGCTGCAGATGAAGCCCTGCTTCCTCAGACATCCCCCAGTGCCACAGAAATTATCCCCCAGCAAGCCATCTTCAGCACAGGCAGCAATTGCTGTGATACCATGCGCATGCTGTCTTGCTGCTTTTGTATCGGTACAAGCTGTAGCAGACACAAAGCCTGTCGAGCTTGTCGTGTTATTCTTCCCACCAGAGCAGCAGCACAACCCCTGAGGAAAGGCAGAACACCTTACATGCATGACAGCAGCTTGTTTCAGCATTAACATTTAGGCTTCACTAGAAAAAAAAATGATAATAAGGAGGAGTAGCGCAGTTTTCAAGCCACACAAAATGCCCCTGCCAGCTGAGCTACAATGCCCTGTCTGATCCTTCCACATTTTCATCCAAATCGAGGCTGCTCTTCTGTTTTCTTTTAGAATCTATGAGAAGTTGCAGCTTTGCCCTGCTGGTGAGACCTCATTTCTGCCTCTTTTTTTTCCCTTTGCATTTCACAAACTCCTACAAATAGCGTCTGACACTTGGCCTCTCAGGACAGCCTCCTAATTGCTGGTGTAAGTAGAAAGCCAAATTCCCAATCCACATCTCAACAGAGGTGATAACCAAAGCAGCTCCTCTGCCCTGGTTGGGAACAGCTGGAGGCTGGGAAAGAGGGACCCAGCACAAACAGACAGGGAGTCAAGAGCTTTTCAGGCCACTGTGTGATCCCCTGAGACTTTGATGTTTTTAAGGAACCATCCAAAAGACTCAACATCTAGTTTTTGCCAATAACTTAATGTAAAATGAAATGCCAGCCAACCACATCCTGGGCTGCATCAAAAGAAATGTGGCCAGCAGGTCAAGGGAAGTGATCCTGACCCTTTGCTCTGTGCTCTGAAACCTCACCTGGAGTACTGCATCCAGATGTGGAATCCTCAGTACAGGAGAGATGCGGACCTGATGGAGTGTGTCCAGAGGAGGGCCACAAAAATGACCTAAAGGATGGAACACCTCCCCTATGAGCACAGACTGAGAGAGCTGGGACTGTTTAACCAGGAGAAGAGAAGGCTCCAAGGAGACCTGAGAGCAGCCTTTCAGTATCTAAAGGGGAGCTGTAAGAAAGAAGGGGACAGATTCTTTAGCAGGATCTGTGGTGATAGAAAAAGGGGAAATCCTTTTAAACTAAAGGAGATATTTAGATTGGATATAAGAAAGAAGCTTTTTTACTGTAAGAGCGGTGACGCACTGGCACAGGCTGCCCAGAGAGGTGGTGGAGACATCCCTGGAGACATCCACGGTCAGACTGGACGGCACTCTGAACACCCTGATGGAGCTGTAGGTGTCCCTGTTCGCGGCAGGGGAGCTAGACTAGGTGGCCTTTAAGGGTCCCTTCCAACTCAAACAGTTCTATGATTCTATTACCTTGCACTGCATGCAGCAACATCTGTAACCACCAGAAATGTTTTCAGGGAGCTGTGCAATAGCTCATAAAACTGCAGCAGAGGTTCCACGAACCAACTGGTGCCTGATGAGCACCCCTCTGCTCTCCAGACCTCGCAGGCAGCTCTCTGAGAAGCTTCTTGCTCTCCATTGGACTCCACCGGAAGGCAGGCGGGGTTTACGATCACGCTTTTTCAGAGGGTTCCACCAGCACCGCCCGGAACAGGACACATCCTCCTGTTAGTGCACTGCCACCTACAGCAGCAAGCCTAGAAGTTGCCCTGCTCAGAGAAACGAAGACGTAGCTGCGTGCTATCTGCATCCTTTCCGCCAGCGCAGGCACGGTGCCGTTTGTGCCAAAAACTGCAAATTGGCTTTTCGGGAACTCATTTGTCGGCATTGCAGAGGAAAGTAGGAAAGAAGCCTTTTGACTGAAGGCAGCCAGCTGCTGTCTGTTCTTTGCAAACTTCCACAAGTTCTTTTTCCATACCTCAGTTTAGGAAATGGAGATATTCAGCCCCTAATCTTGCAGCACTCTTCTGACTATAAACTCCAGGACTTCCTACACTGCTATGAGATGGAAAACATTCATGGAAAACAAAAACATTAAATGTTATTACATGATATTCAATTTCTCTGAGATAAGGGGGACGAGAAAACTAGTTTTCACTTAAGTGTCCTTTGTGTCACAGAAACATATCTAGACAAAATTATTCAGGTATAGCAATGAATGCTCCCCTGGGTCATCCAAACTGCTGCTTAAGCTGATCAGCAGACAAAAGCATTGCTAAAAAGCAACACAGAAGAAAACATGTTCCAATTCTGAACTTGCCAGAATTTGTACCAAAAACCTGTATTTCACCTGGGTAATCACCTGCCCTGCTTCCTACTACTTTGTGTATGGTTAATATTAAACTTTCTTCCAGATCATAAATGGATCTGCATGAAATAAAAAGCCTCTTCCTCAGATTTGTGTCACTGGTTTCTCTAATTCTATTATCAGCTGACAACTGAGAAAATACAAGAGGAGCACAAGTCAGTGCTCCAGCTCTTTTACATGTTCAGGGAGAAAAAAAAAAGTAGTAAAATGACTCCTCAGAATTCTGCGAGACACACCTCACATAGAGAAAAGCTCTCCTTACTCATTGTGTGTACGCACTGTTATGAGAAGCAAGCACACTGACAGTGTGCCAGCCAGGTGAGATTGCTGCTGAGATGTAACCTTTGTTGAGGGACCCCCCACCTCTTCCCATTCTCTAATGAAACACACTCA